ACAAAAATGAGAAGTTTTCAAGTACTGAGATGTCAATTTGTATCTTAATCGTGGAGTCAAAACTTTCACCCTTAAACCCTATAACAGTAACTAGCAACTAATTTCTCCGCACAATATCACCTCCAAATCACACATTCAGGCTGATTGGGTTCTTATATATCGGGTATTTTAGGTGAAATCAGCCTGAAAGTGTTCTCAAGTGTTCTTAATTTCTTTGTACTTCTAAAAATATGTAAGGGATTTACTAACTAAGATGAAATACACAACTTTAAGAGAAAATTAATTCCAAATACAGTTGTTGTACATTTGCTATACACAACAAGTGAAACTACTAGCATTTATACAGAGATCTTAGTGCAATACCACAGTAAAACTACAGACACTGTTTGTTCTATTAAACTGAAAAGGGAAGAGTTTTTATATATAAGAACAATTTTCAATTTTAAGGCTGAATGTCTTCTTATATATATGCTCCTTTTTTACCAAATTTCAGCCTGGGTGTTCTTAATCCACATGTTTTTGTAAGTGAGTTTTTACTGTATGTGTAATGATTTTAGGGTGAAAAAGGTCAATAAGCATTTTCAGGGACAACTTTGGGGTCAAGGTCAGTGACTCAGCAACTGTATGCTCCACCCCTCCCCTAACATAACATGAAACTTAACTTCATGTCAGTTCACTGTTGTTGGGTTAGGAGGGAGGGGTGGGTGCACAGTTGCTCAGATACTAAGATCAATCCAAACTTTGTTCACACATAATTCTGCACAGATGACTGAGAACATTTTCAGAAGACTACAGTCAAACCTTGATTATCCGCACCTCGATTATCCAGATTTCTCAATTACCGGTATCTGGACATTTTCTCTGATCCCAATTTTTTCATGAATGCTTATTTGTCATAATCAAGATATGTAGCCCTTTTTTTTAAAACTACAGCATTGAAAAGTGAAGTAAAGGCAATGTTCTTCTGCTTTCTTAATTTCATCCATTTTTGTTCCTCATTAAAATTCACATTCTTGATTATCCGGACCCTCCTTTCTCCAGACAGTTTCTTCTAGTCCCAACAAGGCTGGACAATCAAGGTTTGACTGTAGTAAAAACACTCAAACAGAACTCTAGCCCCACATTGTGAATGTCAATCATTCAATAAACAGCTTTTCCTTCTCAATTAGTTCCAGGGCATGCATAATTCACTTACGCATGTTTCAATTCCTTCACAATCCATTCCACTCTTGTTGTCTTCTGTTGCTGGGTCAGTCTGGAAAGAAAAAAAAGCAAAATTCTCCAGTGTTTTGTTTACCTTGTGAAAACATGATCATAATTTCTTAAGAATGCTCATCCTAGCAATATGCAGAATGCAAGTAATATATGAACTTTGTAATGGGCCTTGCTTTAACCACAGAGTCTCTGTGGCTCAGTGGTAAAGCATTGGAACATGGATTCGGAACATGGATTCGGAACATGGATTCGGAACATGGATTCGGAACATGGATTCGGAACATGGATTCGGAACATGGAAGGAATATGGAATATGGAATCGGAACATTGCAACATGGAATCGGAACATGGGAGGGACATAGAATCGGAACATTGGAACATGGAATCGGAACATGGAAGGAACATGGAATCGCAACATTGCAACACAGAATTGGAACATGGAATCAGAACACAGAAGGAACATGGAATTGGAACATAGAAGGAACATGGAAAGAACATGGAATCGGAACACAGAAGGAACATGGAAAGAACATGGAATCGGAACACTGGAACATATAATCGGAACATGGAATTGGAACATGAAATTGGAACATGGAATTAGAACATGGAATTGGAACATTGGAACATGGAATTGGAACATGGAAGGGACATGGAATCGGAACATTGGAACATTGGAACATGGAATTGGAACACAGAAGGGACATGGAATCGGAACATTGGAACATGGAATTGGAACATTGGAACATGGAATTGGAACATAGAATTGGAACATGTAAGGTACATGGAATCGGAACATGGAAGGAACATGGAATCGAAACATGGAAGGAACATGGAATTGGATTATGTAAGGAACATGAAATCCGAACATTGGAACATGGAATCAGAACATGCAACAATCGGAACATGGAAGGAACATGGAATCGGAACATTGGAATATGGAATCGGAACATGGAAGGTTTGATTCCTGATGGGGACTCAGAATTTTTTTTCTTCGTTCCACGTTCATGACAAGACGAACAACATCTTTCTCTAATGTTTATTGTGTTGGGACTAATCACATGGGAGATTAAAGCAAACAAACAACAACTTCCAAGTTATAAACAAATCATCATTGGTAATGAATAAATGATAAATTAAATTGCAATTCTCATCCTTTAGTGATGTTGGCATAATAAAACGTACCCATCAAAACTCTGCAGTTTCTCCAATGGCCGTCCAGTCAAACCTAAATGAAGTAAAAAATCAGTAAAAAAAATTGTGATATTGCTTTTTTAACTATTTAACTCCCAAGATCTGATTGTTAATTCTCCCCACTCACATATTTCCTTTTGCAGTTATTCTGTAGAAAGTAATTTTGTTACAAATCAAAAATCCTTTAAGTAATTTTACTTGAGACCTTAGTGCTCTTAAGTCTTAGAGAAAAATGACTTTTATCTAATAGCAGGAGTTTGAAGAGAAACGACCAGATTCCATCTGAGAGCCTTAAAAGTTAAAAAAAAAATGTTACTAACTTTCTAGAAGAACCTTCATGTTGTATCCTTTCAGAAGATCTGTCAATATATTGTGCATGAAGTGTCCTGATGGACTCAGTCTAAGATTCACCCAAGCTGTAAAGCCATTGATTCTGGTCCGTAAAGACATGATTTTTGAAGGTTAATGAGAAGGGTTTTTTCCTTGATCTAGAAGACTATGCTGTTTATTATCTGCTACAAACTCGTTGCTTTTTTCTTAATTATCTCAGTCATTAGAGAGTTCCATAGATCGGGAGAACGGATCGAAACACGCTGTCAATGAAAATCCTCTAAAGTGGGTGATGCACCTTAAAACAGTTGATTCAATCTCCATTAAACCTCATCCATTTGCGATAAGTCGATCTCTTTGCGTGAGCAACATAATCCAATTTCACTAATTTTATGCAACCAGCATAGCAACTCGTAAACAAACTCCTCTGATCCACGAGAAACCTTTCCTTGTGACCAAATCTTCTTCCAAAATCACAAAAGAACACTTCTTAATTTCAGCACAAAGACGTCTATCACTTCGCACTAGAATAGAAGAGAGAATCTTGCAGTGTTCTCGAATATTTTTCCTTCATGCAATCAAACTGCCGCCATGTTGATTAAATGCTCTAAGTTCCAGTCCTCTCGGAGTCGTTCGATTCTACCGAGAGGAACTGGAGAAAATTCAGGTCACAAACAAACTTTATAATTTGCCGTGACCTATCCACAAATACTTTTCAATATTCAGATGAGGTTGTCCTTACAGCTCATTATGTCTCAAACAGTGAAAACTTTTGATTACATTGCAATCGGTGGTGGATCTGGAGGGCTAGCGAGTGCTAGAAGAGCGGCCTCGCTCGGAGCTAAAGCTGCTGTGATCGAACATGGAAGACTCGGTGGAACTTGTGTGAGTTTTCGGGCTTTGAGCAATGACCAGCGTAACGAGCATTAAATTTAGTCCTTTGGGTTGGGTTTTGTAGCCATGCTTTTTCTATGGTCCTTGCCCCTAGAGCAGTGAATCAGCTGATGTTTTTTGTTGTTGCTACAGATAGTTTTGCAGTCGGATGATCAAAAGCGTTGGTTTCGATTCTTCAGCTAAAGCAAGATTGTCCATACCATATTTAATAGAGTACATACGTTGTGCTCATGTATTTCAAACAACAAAAAATTTATCATAACAATAGCAAGATGTGAATTCATTGCCTGCACCCAGTCTTGTGTCTTCTTAATCCTTCGTTATCAATCTTGTATATTTTAACCGGGTAAGAATTTTGCACTTGAATTTTTCCAAAATTGTTGTCATATAACTTAAAGCCTCACTTCCACTTCTTATAAACCGTATGTAGTTATTTATGCAGTCACGCTTGCATTTTATCGATGACATTAATTAAGGCAAATTTTCCCTTTGTTCTTGAAATGGTTCCCGTTAAAATTAATCACACTTTTCTTTCAAAATGACAAATAACCTCAGCCCTAGTCATAAATTTATTAGCAATTTCGAATTCAAGACTTGTCATATGAATTAAATCTTAATCACACGTTTCAGTGAAAATGATAATTTTTAAAATTCCACAGTCATGATTACTTTCAAAATGTGAAGTGGTCTAAAGATAAGGGAGGTCTTAAGTGAACTGTGAATATAGTTATAATGAAAGGCATGTACCCAGTTTAATATAGTTGATGAATTTTCAGAAAATGTAAGGAACTTTTTCCCTCTTATAGCCAAATCGAAGTTTTTCAACCTTTCGTTTTGGAAATTGATAAATTTCAGTGTAAATTTTCATGGCCTCAGATGCACAGGAACTTTTGGGCTCATGAAATAACTCGGAACTGCATGAGAGATGAACCCAAGTTTTGTTTTTGAAGGCAGTTACAGAGACCCAACTAAAGAGAGCAATGGAAATCATACTTATAGAATTCCCTTCCCTACAAAAAATTGAAAAACTTACTAGGTTAAGGGGAGATCAAGATTGAGGATCCAGCCCAGAATTTTGAAGGCAGCTGTGCCAGGCATACTGGTGTAAAGGAACCAGGCCATACCTGGATCAGTAACTTTCCTACTGTTTTCACTTTGCTAGGTAAATGTTGGCTGTGTCCCAAAGAAGGTCAGTGTCATTTACTAACATACTTGTCATTTAATGACTCTAAGCACTCTATGTAGCTTTCTGTGTTTAACATTGTATAGAGTACACTTAGCAAAATGTCAGCCTATATATGATACTAGAGATTTAAATAAGGTAGGTAAAAAGCATGCTAAGCCTTTAACTTCCAAGATCTTGTGAGTAATTCTCCTTGCTGTCTGTCATATGGTTCTCATGATGATAGTTTGGAGAATTTGTTATTGGATCAATTGCTATTCCCCTTATTGATATTTTTTTAAATTCTCGTTACTTGTCTTCTTGATATTGTATTGATATTGTAATGAGAAATTCTCTGTTGATCACTCAAGAGGATTAAAAGGGTTAAGTCTGTACTTGAGCCAAGTGGTTCAAGCAGCCTGAACTTATCCTGATTTCCTTAGCATGAAGTAACAAAGGGTAGCACTACTCCCCCCTGGATAGGATGCTAGTCCATCGCAAGGTTACACCCCTGCAGTTCATCAAGCTTCCCTGAAAATTTGCTGGTATCCATTTCTATTCCAGGGGGGTGGAGTGACACTTTGAGAGTAAAGTGTTTTGCCCAAGAACACAAAAGGTCTCAAGGAGTAAAGAGGAGACAAAGTTTGTTTGGTATATAATGTTAGTTCTGTTGACACCTTAACTCCCAGAAGTGATTAACATGTAACTTCTCCCTTTAATATGAGTAATTTTTCACTGGCTGAGTGGAACGAAATAAGTGAAAGATATTTTTCTCACACGCAGCTGGGGCCTGGGTATAGGCCATGTGACCCATGGGGCGGGCAGTTGTTTTTGTTGCATCCGCCATTGCCAACTTTCCTGCCCACCCACCCAAAGATTTTAAATGTTAATACAATACCAGTATAACATACTAGCCTGGAACTTTTTTCGTTAATTCCAGTCTTGGGTGTATGCTACTTGTATTAGCTTTGAATTTCCAATAAAGGTGAGGTTGCGGTGGTCAGCTTGACACGGCTACCAGCAGTGTTTGAGAATCATATATTATCTAACAAATAGGTAAAGTAAGGGTAAACTTTATTTGATAAGTAGGTTGACATTGTTTGGCAGCCGAAGGGCGGATGTGGACCTACTATACACAATCAAAATTTGACAAACACAAAAGATACTAAAAAAAGAATAAAAGCTATGCACAGGGAGAAAACAATATATATACATGCAAAAAACTGAGATTTACAAGTTAGAGCCTTATACCAGAAAATAAAATGCTTAAAAATAGGTAAAGAGATAATTAAAACTTTTCAGGTAGAAGTTGTTACCTTGATCTAAATCCAAATTCTTGTAACAAATTTACAAGAAAACGTGCAGCAGCTAGAGGGGAGCAATCAGATCTTGGGGTTAAAGAGTTATGTGAAGCCTTTGTCTTGTTTTAGGTTATGTTTAATACAGCAGTCCATGCAGAGTATATTCATGATCATGCGGATTAAGGCTTTGATGTTACTCTAAATAACTTTTCCTGGGCGTAAGTACAACTATATACAACTCATCAAATTTCTATATTAGAAATTTGTATATTTTATTTAATTGAGACCTCCTGTTTTGTGCTTAAAAATTCATTAAATTTAATGAAAATAAGAATATTTTTGTGCTATGAGAAACTAATTCAACTTATGCTTCGTAACAGAACTGTTAAGAAGTCCAGAGATGCATACGTCAAGAGACTAAATGGTATTTATGAGAACAACTTAAAAAAGGTGAATTAAAGACAGCCTCAGTGTTACTTTTCTTCAATTTGTTTTAATTTTAAATTTGTACTTTTTTCATTAACAAAATTCAATCAGTCAGATAATGAGCAAAATAATTAATAATGTATGATTACAAAATCATGCATTTTAGTAATTAAAATTAAATCAATAGTCAGCTATAGCTTTGAATTCCTAATTTGTAGGACAATGTGGAGTATATCCCTGGTCATGCTGTGTTCACTCCAGAGGGAAATGTCAAAGTTGGAGACACTGTTTACAGCAGTAAACACATTTTAATTGCTATTGGAGGGCGGCCAACCGTGCCGGCATTTCCAGGTCTGTTGTAAAAAATTCTCTCATTTTTTTCACTCATCTTCAGGAATTTCTAAAAGTAAGTTTGGTGGAAAACTTTATTGTCGAAGTAATGGCTATTTTTTGCTTTTCCTTTATTTGGCCATTCTCTTACTTTTAAGGTCCTCAAGTGGCAACTTCAAAAGGAGCCCAGCCTTAAGCCCTCAGTTTATGAATTAATGATGTTGTTAGATCTATGGTTTTATGGTTAAACTGATATTGCTGTGTAGTTAATGAGCTAAGTTGTGGTAGACATTGGTAAGAGAATGGCATCGTTAAATTATAATGTTTAACTTATTAAATCAATGATGTTGTCAAGTAATTTATGTGTAATAGCGAAAAGCGACCTTAAGTTGTTAAGCAATCCCCCTTAAAAGGGTAGCATAACTGCCGCCAGTTATCGCACATCACACTGTTTAAAAGTTCAACCGAACATGCATTTTAAACGTTCTATCGCAGAGACTCCACTCGACCAGTTCGTGTCCAGTCCCCCTCCAGTTCATCTTTTGCATAAAATTATGTCCCTTCATTTTCAAAGTATTTCATGAATACTCCCCATTGCTTCGCTCCGACGAAGGTTTAACGCTCGAAACGTCAGCTTTTGTAATCGTTACGGTGGCCAATTTACCATTTCAACTTTGTTGATATATCCAAATTATTTCGTAACTCCCACCGACGCAGCCCCAAACAGTTTCTTTCGAAACTATCAGCCTTTATTTATCTTTGAACAGGTTGTGAGTATGGAATCACCAGTGATGGCTTCTTTGATTTGGAGGATCTTCCAAAGTAAGGGCCTGAATATAAATTAATGTGATTACTAGTAAACAAAACTGCAAGACTACTTTTGCAAAAAGTCTTGAGTGTAGTCATTTGATGGTAGCCAAATTTCAAAAGGAATAGGAGTGTATGTGCATCATGCAATAGAAAAGTTTATGCATCATGCCTACACAACTGGACTCAACCTGTCATTTGTCCACTCTGTTGCTCAAGCTATTCACGGCAAAAGAGTCTGTGCTCTCTCAATTTTGACTGACTGCTGTAATTGTATTTTTTCTCGAGGAAAGTTGCTGTAGTTGGAGCAGGGTACATTGCTATTGAGTTAGCTGGAATACTCAATGCTCTTGGGTCCAAAGTTTCATCTCTCATAAGATATGACAGGGTAACAGTATTTTTTTTTTTTTCTTATTAATTGAAATTTTTAATTTACTGTGTCATTCACTCAAAATATTTAAACAACTGAGTGGGTATGTGAAATTCTTTTTTTATTGTAGGTTCTGCGAACATTTGACTCCATGCTGAGTGAAGGAGCAACAAATGAAATGGTGAAAGCTGGAATTGACCTGCAAACACACACTTCTGTACGTTAAAAGTTGATTTAAACCTTAAATCTCCTACAAGTGGTCAGCATCTGAATTCTGTTAATACATTTGAATGCATTTTCTTGTCATATACGTGGTATGATCTTGCTCTCCCAACCAATCCACCAGGGAATGTCAAATAACCAAGTGGGGGAATCGCTATAGCTCAAAATTAATATTTATCAGTGAGATCTTCAGTTATAGCTTAAAAATTCCTTGAATTGTTCATTAATTATTGGAATCTTTCGTGGTCATTCGACAATTTTTGAGATTTGTACCCTCCTGAAATCCTTGTGAAAATTACTTTTTGTTCAGAAGGAAGAAGGAAGATGTAGAATTTTTTTTGTTTTTGTTGATGTTTAATTTTCTTAATATGAAGATTTCTAGCAGCTCAGGTCTCGGAAAATGCTACAATTTGTCAAATTACAGTCAAGTCACCCTCAGACCAAAGTGCCCACGCTTAAAATCTATTTTCCTTTTGCCTTTTAAGCATCCGCAGCAGGGGCGGATCCAATAATTTTTGATTGGGGGGGTCCAAACTTTGGTTCAGAAAGTACTGTTGGACTCTTTTTGAGGCAAATTACTTCTCCCCCACACCACCAGTTGTGGTTGCACGTTATAATTCCTTGGTCGCTTAGCGTTTACTTGAATTCATTAAAAAGATCAGCTAGTTAAAAAGTGATATACGATCCTGTCGATGTAAGAATTTCAATTTCAAAGTTGTAAGCGTCAGGTCTGTTGGAGGGGGGATCCGGACCCCCTGGACTCTCCCCCTGGATCCGCCCCTGCGTAGCATTTTTAACTTAAAAGTGTTCGTATGTGAGGTTATGCCAGTTGCTGAGCACTTTGGTTTGTATTGCAACGGCATAAAGTTGAAAAAAGGTTGTTGAAACTTCAATAATTTTATAATCATTCCATGAAACATCAAAACTAAACTTAAAAACGAGGTTATTGATTTATCACTTAATGTTTTCAATATTTTTCAACTTTCTAGATTCAGGAGATCACTAAAGACAGCGAAACCGGTCTGATGACCATCCACATCCTGAAAAACAAGCAAGATAAAGTGGCTCTGTCAGGGTTTGACTGCGTCTTACTGGCCATTGGGAGAGTTCCAAATACAGATTCTCTTGGAATAGATGGTTTGGTAAGTAAGAAACAATTAACACAGCCCCCTTAATGCAACAAGTGATTGCAAAAACATTTTTGGGACGAATCCCTCCACGTGTTTAAGAAGAATTTTTGTGAAAATCTTTGTCTAATTGAAAGAATATTGACTTTGCAACACTATGCACAAATTCAAACCCTTTACCTAATAATATAAGATCTAGCATCAGTATTAACGCATTCAAACAGAACTATTGTTATTTTATAAAAGAAGGCTATGCCGGCTTAGATAGCTTCCCCATTTTACTTAAAACTGGTTTGAACGCTTTTCGACCTTATTATCTAAAATGCGAGGAGGCTGCTCTTTTCGGCAAAGTCCGTCGCGCAAGTCACGCGGTGCGCTAAAATGAAATTTCTTTTTTTCACAGTTTTTTTTTACTCGTGCGACGGAGATCGCCGAAGGGAGAAACTACTCGTAGTGTACTTATTATCGAACCTCCTTACGATTAATTCTAAACAAAGCATCGGGTTTAAGTGGAGATTTCCGAGTTGAATTACACACAAATTTCAACAAGAGACGAATTATACCTTGTACGTTAAAACGGAGCAGGAGTACAGTGAAAAGGCGGGGGAGGCTTGGGACACGTTGTTTTTTCCCGTCACCGCTTCTGTTGCGCCGTTTAGGAAGAACACTCACTGATAACAATTATAACCTTTTGACCTTCATAGGGAATAGAAGTTGATAGCAAAGGACATGTAGTGGTTGACGAGGTTTGTTTGTAACCATTGAAAAAAAAGATCGTTAGAAAAATACTTGTGTTTTTATGTTAAACCTGAATGGGACGAGGTCTCTAAAGTTTTGTTTTTGTTTCTCGTAAAGTTCCAAAACACGTCTCGGCCTGGTGTATACGCCCTGGGAGATGTTTGCGGTAAAGCACTACTCACACCAGGTAAAGATGTCTACCGTTTTTTTTTTTTTTTCTCAGATAAACTGCGTGCTCAATTTCTTGAGTCAAGTGCGCCTGATTTTACTATCCAAAATACCGAATTCCCGTCAAACGCGACGACTTCCAAAAATTCCGAAGGTTTTCCGGTGAAGTCCATCGTTTCCCAGTTAAGTGGTGCAAAGATTTGGAATCATCTTGCAATACGACCTCAAAGCTCATTATTTAGGACGCTGACATGATATTTAGAGCCATTCACCGAACTATTTTCAGTGGAATGTTAATAATTTTTTCTTGGTTACAGGACAGTTGTGAACCATGGGTGAATTCTCTCTTTCGCGTTTGATTTGCGTTTTCGCAGGCGTTTGGCAAACGCATATTTCATGTGAGTCAGGTGCCTTTGAGTTATCGCAAATATGATAACGGAGCAGGTTCGACGGGATGATTTCGAGGGAAACTTCTCTCAGGTATCTTGCAGATTTTTTTCTCACTTATTTTTGTGTTCCTATTTCAGTGGCGATTGCAGCAGGGCGAAGACTCGCTCACAGATTGTTTGATGGTCAGTCGAGTTTGAAGCTGGATTACGACAACATACCCACCGTGGTGTTCAGACATCCACCAATAGGAACTGTGGGGCTAACTCAGGGTAAACTACCATTTAAAACAAAGCGGTCAAAAGTTGGGCCTGCTCAAGGGATAAATTTTTGGCCTGCAACGCACCAATTTCCCACCCAAAATTTCACATGAAAACATTAGAAAAGACCGTTTGACGCAAAATATGCGACAAAAAAAAATATATTGGCCGTTTAGGCATTTTGGCCACTACTGGCCGTTTCGAAATTTTGGCCGCTAGTGGTCGTTTGACCATTTCGGCCACTAGTGGCCCTTTGACCATTTTGGTTACTAGTGGCCGTTTGACCATTTTGGCCACTAGTGGCCGTTTGACCATTTTGGCCACTAGTGGCCGTTTGACCATTTTGGCCACTAGTGGCCGTTTGACCATTTTGGCCACCAGTGGCCCTTTGGCTATTTTGGCCACTAGTGGCCGTTAGGCCATTTTGGCCACTAGTGGCCGTTTGGCTATTTTGGCCACTAGTGGCCTTTTTGGCCATTACTGGCCGTTCGGCCATTTTGGCCACTATTGGCCGTTTGACCATTTTGGCCACTAGTGGTCATTTTGCTATTTTGGCCACTAGAGGCCGTTTGGCCATTTTGGCCATTACTGGACGTTTCACCATTTTGGCCACTGGTGGCTGTTTGGGCATTTTGGCCAATAGTGGCTGTTTGACCATTTTGGCCACTACTGGCCGTTTGGGCATTTTGGCCACTATTGGTCGTTTCGGCATTTTCACTGCCAGTAGTTGTCTCGGCATTTTAGGCACTAATGGGCACTAGTGGCCAAAATGGTCAAACGTCAAGTAGTGGCCAAAATGGCCAAACGGCCACTGGTGGCCAAAATGGTTAAACGGCCACTAGTGGCCAAAATGCCCAAACAGCCACTATTGGCCAAAATGCCCAAACGGCCACTAGTGGCCAAAATGGTCAAACGTCCTCTAGTGGCCAAAATGGCCAAGCGGCCGCTAGCGGCCGCTATCACGAATAGAACGGTTAAGAGAACTGATGTTTATTGTTTTCTTCTCCTTCAGAGGAAGCAGAACAGAAATATGGTAAAGATAAAATAAAAGTTTACAAGGCTTCGTTCACCAACATGTATCATGCATTAACTCAGCGAAAGACCAGCACAATGATGAAACTTGTTTGTCTTCTGCCTGAAGAAAAGGTAGGGGAAAACCTAACTTACAATGGACTGGCATTCCATTTAATAGTAGTGGCAGTACTCTCAACTACTTCGCGATACAGAAACTTGGAAAGATTCTAGCAGTTTTTGGTCACTGAGTTTCAAGGCTGAACTCTTCTAGAGCAATAGAGCGCTTTGTAAAAAATCCATTTTCGAAAAAAGAGGCCCGAGTCCAAACTCCGTAGAAAATATGTATTAAACTTGTTAAAAAAAGAAAAAAACCCACAACATTTGGCTTAAATAAAAAACTCCGAAACTTCTTAAAATTCCGCGCGCCGCGCGTGAATACAAAAAAATAATACAATTCGGGGCGAGGAAAAAGGAAATTGTAATTTGAATTTTTTAAAAACCGAATGAGATTTTCAGCACGCTTTTTGATTGTGTCCGAAAACTAAAACCAGAGTAGTCATTAGGACCAATCGGTAGAAAGGAAATTACAGACGGCACCCAAAGGAATGTATAGAGAGAAAAGCACGGAGAATATACATACTAAGTGTCAAGTTAGTCTCGTTCCCAGACCTAAATTTCGGTTACCGTTACACTGTAGGATCTGGGAACGAGATTAGGGTGAAGTATAAGATGTTTCAGTGAGTGTCTTAGATGGACGTTTGCGATTTGTTTTTCCTTAGATCCTTGGACTTCACATTCTTGGGATTGGCTGCGATGAAATGCTGCAAGGTTTTTCTGTTGCTGTCAAGATGGGGGCCACTAAAAAAGATTTCGACGAAACTGTAGCGATCCACCCAACTTCGTCCGAAGAGTTAGTCACAATGCGTTGATTGGATGCTTACCGTTTCTTCACTATCGTTATCGTCATTATCAGTTATCATCATCATTATCATTATCTCATTTTTTTTCTTCTTCTTCTCTCCCTGTTTCCAAGGCAATGCGTGCCTTTGCGCGCCTTCTGACGTATGTTATGGGGGAACGGTCCCCGTAACCATTTAAACAAGTAGATTCTGTGTTGCCGTGTGTCTGTTCAGTAATAGATAGATTTAGCACCACGCTTACGTGAAACGTGAACGGGAAGAGTGACCACGTGACCTTGTTTTCCCGCCTTTTTTTTCACGTTTGCTGGTTGCACTTTACCATTTCTACATGAATGTAACCTGTTTCGCGTTTGCCGTTTACGTAAGATTTCCTTCACTTTTTCTTCACTTTTTCTCTCGCTATTACTGAACAGACACGGCAATATAAAATCTATTTTAAAATCCCCTGATGAGTGGGCAACCAGGAAACAGGTCTGTAGGGATATATACGTAGTTGTTTTTTTCTGCCCACCACACATAAAAATCTATTTTATATAATTAAGAAGCATAAAATTGTTTGTTGTAACCCCATCTATGCATTTTGCCCTCCAACAGATCATAAGTGTAGAATTCAACCTATTACATAATTTTGAGTTGTTCATTGGCCTGCTGGTCATATCATAATCAAAACATCCTTTTACTTTTGTAATATCGCAGCAATATCCATGATAATGATATTCCTTTTTCAAGGACAAAGCATCAGGGAATAGAGAGAACTTTGTCAACTAAGGCTGAGCGTGTGGGTGAGATTATGATGTAAGGATATCGCTCAGGTCAGCAATAGAATTGAAAATAAAGATCCAAAAGTTCTTGGTCCCAATCTACTACTTTTGTGACATATTTGATATCTGACTTCTGACGCATTACCTTTCTGGGCTGCCATTTTTTTTTTTTTTTATGATTTTTTTTGCTCTGTTTCTCTGGTTACGTTTGGCTCAGCATCACATTGGGTTATTAACTGCAAGAAGAGTTTCTTTCTTTCATCAATCTTTGTAAAGTCGTCACAAATAACAATGATTTTTGAAGAGCTAGTAACAAGTCAGTGAATTACATTTTTGCAGAACCGTTTGCACATAACTTAACATCGCGCGCCAGTTTACCCAGCAATGATTTTTTTCTTGAAAGCCTCACACGAGGGCACAGCCATAATTTGAAATAAAAAGTCAAATCTGAGGTTCCTACATGATGTCATAAATTTAAGCTCCGAAAAATTGTGATTTTATCTTGAAAAACGTTGCTGAACATTTTCCTCAAACTGTCGCAACAAAGTACCAGGTAAACTAATTAACACACGCGCAGCCAATCAGAGAACAGCGTGGAGCTGACGCGAGCTTCGCTACCGACTCTGATTGTGTTTTGAAAAGTTGAAATGGCGAAGGGAATTGTACTTTTTTCCACGATCGGCCAGGAAGAAGGACATCTGTTCCTTTTACGAATCAGTTTTGAAGGATTATACAAGTAAAGGTATGGTGTAGTAAAATATTTGAGGTAAGATTTCCTCCCGAGTGTGAGATTTCTCTTTGAACAAATCATAATTGAAGCAGCGAAATATTTTCTCCGACTTGTTTGACATGAAGATAGGTTTTGAATTATTGTTTACCTTTGTAGGCCCACAGGTCTCACCGTTAGTGTCAAGCTGGAATTATTTAGGCAAATATAGGTAGTTATCAATCTGAAGACTTTGTTTAAAAGCTAATCGGTTTCTTAGTTCGACGCGAAGTACATTCAAAGAACAAAGCATCGTGTTCAACAGCCGATTAAGTGAACCACCAATTCACGGCCTATCGACCTGTTGAACCACTGATTTAATTCAGTAAAACGACGGGAAAAGGATAGACGCCTAAAAGTAAAGGCACTTCTGTCAGTTTCAAATAAAAACGAGTTAATATGTTCTTTTTCACTTGATTAAACTTCTTGCCGTAACTGATCAGTTAGCTGGGATCGTACATGACCGAGTAAGGTTCTAATTAATCAAAACTTTCCGAGCGTTGAATGAAAATTCGATCCACATTTATCGACGATTTCCTATGAAAGCGTGTTTTTGTCGCTTGCTTAAATAATCTTTAAACTTTTGTTGTAAGTCAAACGTTAAAAAATCACGAATCACCTTCAGTTAGAAGTTTATTCGCCATTCGCAAACTGAACCTTAAAAAGTTTTTTATGAACGTTACAAAGCGTCAGAGATTAGTAGATACGTCAATATGAATGGCGATTTTAAATTCTCTGACGGTTGTTGGAAAAAGTTCTGAATGATCGGCAACTTAAATTTTAACTTACGACCTCTTTATTTTCATTCATACTTTTGTTGAAGTCCATGCATTTTCAAGGAAAGGAAGCTAATTTGTCGCGTTTGCTAGTTCAATTTTATCAATCTGATTAATTAACGTCCCGGACTTTATTGAACGCGATGCAGAACTGCTAGAAATGGTATTGAAAATTTTAGAAGTTTAATTCCTGTGAGCTCTGATAGAAGACCTCCATAAATTCGTATCATTTCAGTTCTTAAACCGATTATCATTCACAAAGAGGAAAACGAATCTGTTTTGTTGTTTCCCCATATTAATATTGGTGTCATTTTTGATTCAACGCGAATTTATTGCAATTAAGTTAGTAAACTTCATTCGATTATTAAGTAGTTGATACACTTAGCCTTGGAAAGGGTAAACTAAGTCCTTGTCTCAGTATAGTTTCAGGCGCGCATTTGTGTTAGAAGGAACTGGTATTTTAATACAGCCTATGAATACATGGTAAAAGTAATTGCAACTGTTTGCCTCTCTCTGAGCAGATTGTTCTAAATAGGTATTTTTTAACTTAATTTCCCACTGACGAAAATTCTTCAAACTGAGTTGTTTCTTCTAAAAACGAACCAGTTATGGAGTAGAATTTACTATTTCATTACAAATTTTATTCATATCGTCCAAACAGTGATATATCCGTATTGTAAACGCACTAGCAAGCAGTATGCCCATATCCCTCCCACCTTTTAAACAAAAACCCCAAAATGATAACATGGAGTAAAATGATAATGCTTCAACAATGTGAAAGAAATAGTTAAGACCGAATTCTTGCCACAAATTTGGGCTAGGTAGCACTTAAGCTGAAAGCATACTTGTATTAACTAACCACTTTTGGGTCATTTTTTTTTAACCAAAGATATGCATTTTGTGTACGTTGTTTGTCAAAGCTGAGCGAAGAAGAAAAAAATAAATCATGAATTTTTTTTAACCTCCGGCAGCCGCTATACGGTCCATGTGTGATCTTGGAGCACAGCTTAAGCCAGCTGGAATCAGCTGTATGTTGGTTTTTAGTGAGGGAGGAAAACCGGAAAACCCGGAGAAAAACCCTCGAAGCAGAGGAGAGAACCAACACAAACTCATCCCACTTATGGCGTCAGGTCCGGGAATCGAACCCGGGCCACCCTGATGGGAGGTGAGTGCTCTCACCACTAGGCCATCCATGCTTATCTTGAACAACCCTTTTCCAGGGAATTTGCTTCGAACATTTACAATATTTCATTTGTTCTTTTTTTTTTTCAGGATAAAGAAAACATAAAAAATGACCGAGGCACAGGCTACGATTAAGTCAAACAATCTGACCCCTGATGTCTTAGAGGCGGCGAGCATTCTGGTCGCCATGAAACGTGGCATGCGATATTTCCTCTTAGAAGCACAACAAGCTCGTCATCACCTCTCTTACCTAGATTTCGCTGCTCTCAATCCTGGATCTGCTCAAGTTCATTTTCTTGCAGGTCACAGGATTCCTTTTTCACCCCTCTATGACATCACTCCTATGCCAGCTGCTTACCATTTTCCTTTAGCGCAGCCAGTTGCGTATTATGGGATGTTGGCCTCACCCTCGTGTTATGTAGGGCTGTCTAGGGAGCGCGGAGCATCCACCGAGGGGGTAGTGGACAGTGAAATTACTCAGTCAGGTGGGTGTGTTACAAGGGTGGGTTTTTCCCCATCGCTACCCTGGTAAATGCCAAAGCATAAGACTTCAACTTACCGAAGACAAATATTTTGAGCGCGCGTGGTTTAAATGAGGCGCAAAGTCACTCCCTTGAATTCCAGCGCAAGATTACTCCGGATTGTTTAAAACACGAACGCGCAACACGTTTCAACAAAATTTCTCCTATGAATAAAATATGATCCAAGGGAAAAACGGCGAGCTACACCCAGACTTACACCTCTGAGAAAAGAATTGGTGAACTAAGGGTATAACGAGCGACAATCGAATAAATGGTGAGATACTTGCGCGAAAAAACACACTTTTAAGTGACGAACAGAGAGGAATAAATAGCAGAAGACAGTATTTAAAAAATGATTACAAAAAACGCCTAAATTACTTATATATATTAATTTCTTTCTACTGCAGCGCCAAAGAGGATGCGGTTGTCCACGGTATCTACAAGTTCGCCTGAAGGCGCAGCCAACGATAAGCAAGAGTCGAAGAGCAAAAGAAAAAACTACACCAAAGAACAACTTGAGATTCTTGAAAACGCGTACGCCGAAATGAAATACCCACACATAGAAGAACGATTAAAGTTGGAGAAAGTTACGAAACTAACCGAGGATCGAATACAAGTTTGGTTCCAAAATCGACGCGCGAAAGACCGTAAAAGAACTGAGCCCGAGAAATGCCAAAGATACTTTGAGAACACTCAAAAGTTGACTGGCGAAAGTCAAAAAAATGGCGCCGGAGAAAGAAGTCCGAGCGAAAGTCCAATTCAAGGCGCTCAGATTAAACAAAGACAAAATAGTGGTAGCGATACAAGTGATAATGCATCTGGAGAATTTGACAATTTTCCTTTTAGCGGATCTCAAACAGAATGACTTGTTTTCAAAATATATTTTTTCACAACATGAATACTATGCTTAAGATAATTATCGTACGTTAAGAATTTAATTCGTACGGAGCGCGTGAATCTCATTACAGATTAGTAGTACGTCCAGATTAAAATTGTATTTTTTAGCTCTTGAATTATGAGTATTTTTGTCGTTTTTGATTATACCAAGGTCGTAACTGGCAATTAATGTTACAATTATCATTCCATCGGTTTTGCTTTATTCCGTTCTGTGATTGGTCCGAAAAACTCTGCCAGTCACATGCAAAACTGAAACCAATCACAACTTGGTCGCCGCGCTTCAGTCAGTTGTGCTGTTTTCACTTGAATTCTCATAGGCTCTTAAAATAATTTTTCTTTTATCTGATCTGTCGCTGAACTTACTTGAGTTGGGGTTTTCCGACACTTAATCTACCTTATAAAGCCGAAAATCTACTTTTTAGGAGTTTTCAAGAAATCAAACGATACTCGTGTTATATGAAACGCAAAGACACTTTACGGGCATCATGGAAAAGTGTTTTGTTTTTTTTAAAACGGACACTTCTAGTTTTACTTTATCACGAGACTAGATGGAGACCTTTTCGCCTTTCGATAAACATACCTAAAGAAACTTGGATTGTTACACTCTTTTAAGTCATTGAAACGCAAAATTACAATTCAGCCTTCTTGTGAAACTAAATTGTAAAATAACTGCGTCTCTGAAACGCGAAACGACGGTAATCTTCGATTTTCCGTGAAGTTACATCCGTTTATTCTACCTATTTACACGGGAAACATTTTGATATACTTTAGCTCACGTCGGGTCCCACTTTGCTTAAATGCAGTAGAGATTTGCAACCTGCAGACACGTGAAAAACTTTTCAACTTAGTGTATTGCTTACTTTATGGAAATTCGAAATAAAGTAAAGTAATGTAATCATAAATATTTATTATGCTAGAGTTTGGCCCTGCCATAACATGTCTTTTTACACGAAATTTTTTTCAATGCAGTCTCTTAGGTTTTACAACCCCATCCGCTAGGTGTGCCGTACCAATCGACTCACCCTACGCCATTCCATATTTTCTTAAAATTTTTTATCATTCTTTAACAGAAAAAAAATCGATAATTTTTTTAAATTGTACAGCAATAGAAAAACGACGATGCTTACTGTAAGCTGCAAAGGAAAAGAAAAAAATAAACAAGTCATTTAATTTTGTCAATGTGACTCCATCAGTCCCACTACCAGCGTGAAAATTGTATCAGTACCTTCATATATATATAAACTTTCAAGAAACTAGCTCTAGAAGCCTTGATCCTGCCAAGATGCTACAAATACAATTCAATTATGATACAAAAGGAAGCCAGCCTCGAAACACATAATATTAAAAATTTAACCCTAACTGTCTTTCACTGCGAGGCGAAGAAACTTTCCAATATCACAGTAATCCTCACAAGACCTGAAAGCCTTACACTTTCACCTGACGTCCCCACCCATCTGGGGTGTAAAAACCGTCTCCTCCCCTACGCCAATTTACATTCTCAAAACTTTACTCATCCAATTACAAAGTTGAGTAGGACCTAGATCGATTGCTCACTTAATTAAACACATAAATACGGTAAGTTACAAAAATTATAGTATGATCCTTAGCCACATCCAGCGTGGAAATATAATAAATTGTGTTGATTATTCTTTATACGCGATCCTTAAATTTCTACAGATATTGAATTACATACCTTCAAGCAACTCAACTATATCTATAATTTAGCTCAGTTTGAACGGTTCGTTACTTTGGGCCTGCCAATAAACTATAAAATAATCTCTTGTATCACACGGAGAAGCCAGTCTCCACAAACATAATCATTCGAAATTAACCCTTGATAATTCAAGGAAAGTGTTTTACAGAAATTGAACATGGACCTGTTTAAGGTTTCCATTGCAATGTTTTATTAAGTTATTTTTTTTCGATGAGATTTATCGCATCCAGAATGCAATGCAAATTGTTCCCCCGAAGCCTGTGACCGGATGTTCCTGCATCTGAAGTATCACGTGTCGAAGGGAAGCTCCCGACGCTGACCTCTGGATTCGAAGGCGCGGGTTCATCTCCACGTGCATCGTGTCTTGAATTCCGTACAAACTGGTTCAAACGTCCTCCATGGTCTTTTTTCTCGTCTGAATCACATCTCTTTCCCACTACAGAATCAAGGTCCTTTTTTCTTGGATTATGGCAGCTTGGAAGGTCCACCGCCGAATAGCCTTTGTAAGTAGTCCCTGCGTTACTGTGCGGCGAACAAGACCAGCGGTTGAGCGCACTGTCGCCTGGGTCTTCACGTGAAGAAGTAAGCTCTTGTCCTTTAACTTGCACCGTAAGAGAGAGGAGTGGGTCAATCTCTCCAGTATTTTTCCTGGTGTAGTTCTCGTTCATTAACATTCTTAACTGGCTTCTACAGCACTGACTTTGCTTCCTTTCATCCGCCAGGTTTTCTCGCAGGATGTTGTTATTCTCTCTGACTTGAACCACCGTTCGCTGAAGTCTTAGGATGTGCTGTACAGCCTGTTGCAAGATAGCTGCCTTTGTTTGCTTTTTCTCTGTCGGTGGAAGCAGTCTCTTCAAACTGGTAAACCCCAAATTTATGTTTTGCATTCTCCTTCGCTCGATCATGTTGGCATTTAATCTTCGTGCCTTATCGGTGTTTCGCACATTGCAGTTTGAAGATCTTCGGGAGAAAAATGGAAATAAATTAATGTACAAAATTACTAAATTTAACCTATAAGCAAGTGAGTAAGAAACTTTAAAATTCCTCAAAAGTGCTTGAGCACCTTGCCTAACTCGTATCCAGACCTGCTACGGTCAAGCGGTTTAATTTACTGTTACACCGTAGGATCTGGGAACGAGACCACTCCTTGCCTGGAATGGCCCCCTATGCTTTTATTTCTACTAAAAAAAAAAAAAGATAGATCAGCGCCGTGTCACATCTCCTCTTTCTCCCCTTACGGTGCTCAGAACACGTGCGGCATCTGGTAAGGGAGGTTGGGGGATCTATGGAATCGCTGATATAATTATTTCATCGAAAATTTTAGTGTTCCGAATTGTTTGATCTAGCATAAAATATTACCTTACCAAACTATCTGATTTTTTTTTTTTTTTTGGTCTAACAGCCACTTGGAATTAAAGAAAAGATGTGACATTTTCATTAGAATTTTCTTCAGACGACATCACACAATTTCCAAAGTTTAATAGTATCAACAAGAATGAAACACTACACCGCGAGTGTACCGACCAACCGTGCACGTCATCACCCCAGAGTGCATTGCGCACCGTTAAAAATGGCGACCGCGGAAAATTCAAAGTGGCTGTTTGACCCTTCTTTGGAAAACGATAATAAAATCCAATTGCTTGGTAAGGCAATTTTTTTTAATCCCAGATCTATTGAGTAGTACATTTTGAGTATAATTTGTAAAAGAGTAGATTTTTCCTTCAAACTACTTACCGAGTGAGTTGCTAAGCAAAGTTAATTCGGTATTTTATATTGGTGTAGCAAATTCGAAAAAAGTACGGAAAACCTTAGATCAATCTAGTCGGACTTTTTTAGCTTTAAAAGGAATGCTACATTTTCTAGTTACTGTGCGGTTTTAGTCAAACATAGCAATGGACACTGTGTACAGACAAAATCTTTTTCAATTTGCCAGCGGATGAAAGAAAAAAAATGACAGCTTTGCGAATGAACGCGTTCGATTCTCAACACGAAAAAATCGAGCAGTTTTCTCCATTTTTGTACTACCCTGAAACTAAACGGCCCCAACAGACTTTACTGTCATGAGATTTGTCTAGGGGTTGCTGAGTTCGGCCTTAGGCGCCGTTTAAGCCCTGAAAGCGAACAGTTAAAGAAGGTGAATAAAGGTTAAAGAAGGTGGCTGACGCAACATACCTTTTCGTGATTTCTTCATTGTATTCTTGGAAATCCATCGTTCTGGATTTTTAAGCTACTGAGCCTTAGGAGTAGCTTTTTCTTAAAAGGATGGCAGGTTTGACTTGAACACGAGCATGCTGCAACCATTGTACAAATTCAGACGATGTAAAGAAAACCTTTGCAAAGATCATCCACTTCAAACTGATATTTTATTCACCGCGCACTGGTGAAAGCTGCAAACCATCACGTTCTGCTGTGCATAATAAATGTAACATTGTCACCAAATTTTTTCAAGATGTGACATATCCATTGGCATAGGTGATTTCGGTCGCCATTGAACGTAAAGCTGTTTTGCCGTCACGTTGAACTATACCCACGTCACGTTGAACCATACGCACGCATGGCCGTCGTCAAAGGAGTAGAAAAGTGCGACTTCTTTTCTCCCAGCGAGAATTTATTCATCGCTGGAGAGAACGACTCAACGCTGACGCGAAATTTTCATGAATAATTGCGCTAGGGAACTAGTCAATGATTATCGCCTGAGCAGGGGCGGGGAATGGGGGGGGAGGGGTGCGGAGGAGTTTGGTCGTATCACCATAAAATTTACCTGATCCTCCCCTTAGACTTTGTGCTAATGATTCCCCCCCCACCCCCTTGGCAAATGTAATTTCTGACGTTTGAGTGACATGGGAACGAATTAGTCAGAGTTCAATATTCTGATGGCACGTTGAAGAGGTTCGCGTGGCATCATTAAATTTTCGGATTTTTTAAGCGCTACGCGGGAAAATTGGGTCATGATCTTTCTAGATCGGTCAGTCTTATGTTTGAATATATCAACAAAGTCGAAATGGTAAATTGGCCACCGTTACGGTTATAAAAGCTGACGTTTCGAGCGTTAGCCCTTCGTAAGACAAAAGTTAGTGGT